TGTGATTTTTGTCCTTTCTCTTGTTGATGTGGTGTATCACATTGATTTGCATACATTGAACCATCCTTGTGTTCCTGGGATGAACCCAACTCTTTCATGGTGTATGACCTTTTTTATGTGCTGTTGCATTCTGTTTGCCAGTGTTTTGTTGAAGATTTTTGCATCTATGTTCATCAATGATACTGGCCTGTAATTTTCTTTTTTGGTGGTGTCTCTGGTTTTGGTGGCTTCATACAATGAGTTTGGGAGTACTCCCTCCTCTTCAGTCTTTTGGGACAGTCTGAGGATTGGCATGAGTTTTGTTATGTCTGGTAGAATTCCCCAGTGAAGCCATCTGGTCCTGGACTTTTGTTTGTAGGGAGGTTTTTTTATTGCTGTTTCATTTCTAGTGATTGGTCTGTTCAAGTGATCTATTTCTTGACTCAGTCTTGGTAGACTATGTTTCCAGAAACTTGTCCATTTCTTCTAGGTTGTCCAGTTTGTTTCCATATAGTTGTTCATGGCTGTTGTAAGTCAGGATCTTATACTGACCTCAGGGTCTGAAGGGCAGGAAGTTTGTGAGTCCAGACTCGCCGTCTGCTGAGCTCTCCCGTACATGAAGCACTGTGATGGGCAATGTTAGAGCACAAGGCTGAGTGAAAACACACCCCCACCCCACCTTCCCAGGGGAGACACAGGAAACATGCAGGTCTGAGAGTCCCGGGGTGTTATAAGAATATGGGGGAAAAAAGAGGTTAAATTCGAAGAAATCTGAAAACTGAACATAATGTCTTGAATTGGACCTTAAAAAATGGTAAGTCTTCATTGAGTTGATTTTGGGAAGAGTTCTCCTTGAGCAGAAGCTTAGTGGCAGCACAAGTTGGGTGCTGATGCAGGAGCATCAGGTGTGTGGAGGATAAGTGGGTGGGGAAAGTGGGTGAGGAGCAGGTCCTGGAGGCCTCTGAAGGCAAAGAAGAGGACTTCGGGTTTTTCCTGACCCAAGGGGTTCTGGGGGGACCTGTGTCCTGGGTGGGGGATGGGAACGAGGCATCACGGGGCAGAAAAGCAGGGGAGGTAAGGGCAGAACTGAGGGGAAGTACCAAGAGCCTTACAAACGTTCTCACCTGTTTGTGTGCACGTGGGGGGACCCTGGATGGGTGGGACTGGTGTAAATCTGAGTGCCTCAGCCCATCTGTAGGCATTCCCCCAACCCTCACATTTGCACAGGACCGACTTCCCAGCCTTCTCTCCTCCCCCAGTGAAGAAGTTGAAGGGGGTCCATGCCTGCCTGGGGCCACTACCTCCCCCACTGCTTCTGGTCACCTCGTCTGGAAGCCTCAGATGCACTGCTCATCTCTCCTTGGCCTTCTCCCCACATTCCCGTGGAGGCCACGGAGCAGGGAATGTTGCTCTGGGCCACTGAAGTGGTGGGGTGGGTGTGCTCCCTGAGTTCAACCATCACCCTCCCTCTCTCTGGCAACCCTGTTGCCACCCCACCACCCACCCACCCACCCACATCCTTCCATCCACTGGTCACAGGTACTGCCTGGCACTGAGGTCTCCCACACACACTGGGTTCTTTCCTACTGTGTGTGGCACCTGGTTGACATCAGGTGGATTTGTTATGTGAAGAAATCAATCATTTCTAAGCTCTTCCCTGCCCAGTCATCCAGTCCATCAGTGCCTGAAGGTGCTGGACCAAAGAGACCCATGGCCCTTGATCTTAGGCCCAGGGCCACCCGCTCTCATCAGACCACGGGCAGGTAGCCTCATGCACAATGGCTTCCTTTGGGGAGGGTTCTCTTGGCTTTCATGACACAGCTTTTCTTGTCACCCCGTGCTGGAAACTGTGCAGGGCCTGCCTCCATGGCACTGCCTGCCATCGCTGTCCTCTGACCCGTCGTCTGCACATACTTCAGAACTGGAAACCCCTAACTCGGCTGATGAACTGCAGCCCTGGGCGGGAGGTCCCGAGGGAACTGGCCCACAGACGAGCCACCCTCCCCCTAGAGCCTCGGGTTCCGGGTGTGAGAACCTTCAGCTCACTTCACTCAGCTCATTTCCACCCTGGGCTCCTGGGCCAGCACTGGCTGGCAGAGGTGGGGAGGTGTACCAAGTGTGTGTCCCTCGAGAGGTCACAGCTGTGAGCCTTCAGGTCTCAGGACTCAGCTCCAGAACAGAAACATTTATAAGAGGACCGTGCATGTTTTAAATTGGGCAGATTAAGGGAAATGAGAATCTGGGCTCTTGGCAGTGCTGTGAGATGGGGCCTCTCCCCACATCCCCTGCAAAGAGGCCGCCCCCCCCTACTTACCTCGTGATGGAAGGGTCAGTGAGGGAACTTTCAACTTGACTAAAGTCTTGGGTCCCCATTAATGTCCCCTTGGCTCTTGGCATCTGACCAGGAAATAGGGAGACCTGGGGGATCAGGAAAGCCCTCACTCCTCTGTCCCGGGCCGGCCAGTGCTTCCTGTGCACCACCCCTGCCATGTGACTCACCCCTTCACAATCCCACAGTGTACCAGGATGGGGCACATGAACCCTGAAGGACAGCCAGACACAGGGCCCCCCCTCGTAGCCTCCAGGACACACGCTTCACAGCTGCCCTTGCCTGTGGTTCCGTCAGGGGCAGTGCCGGCACCATACACGGTGTGATGCAGGAGTGGCCTGGGGCCCGCGGGACCACTGCTCTGGGGCCAGTTCCTGAGTGGCCCCCTCAGAGCTGGAGTTGTGGATTTCCAGGCAGAAAGGGTGCCTCCCCATGTTCTCGTGGGCTGTGGTCACCTCAGTGAGCAGACTGAACGTTGGTGCAGGCTCAGAGCATTTTCAGAGAATGGCCCAAGAATGGCTATGAACTGCCTTCACCATTTAAAATATAAGAAGTTAGAGCTGATCTGCTCTAGTTTGGGGTCTCGTGTGGACATGAACTGTCCAGTCCAAACTTCTCCAGCTTCGCTTCATCAGTGACCCCACCACTGACTGGTCCCAGAAGCAGAGCCTTTCAGAGGCTGTCCTTTCGCAACAGGCAACATGGTCCTGCTGCCCACAAGGCGTGGACTCACCGTGCTCTCTTCCCTGCAGGATCTCCTATGACCCTGCCAGGTACCCCAAGTACCTGCCAGAAGCCTACTGCCTGTGCCGGGGCTGCCTGACCGGGCCGTTCGGGGAGGAGGACTTCCGCTTCCGGAGCGCCCCAGTGTTCGTGCCGGCTGTCATCCTCCGGCGAACCCCGGCCTGCGCGGGGGGCCGCTCCGTGTACACTGAGGAGTACGTCACCGTCCCCGTGGGCTGCACCTGCGTCCCCGAGCAGGAGAAGGAAGCGGACAGCGTCAACTCCAGCATGGACAAGCCGGGCAGCAAGCTCCTGCTCAGCCCCAGCGACAAGCCAGGCCGGCCCTGAGGCCTCTCCACACCCCCACCCCCGAGGCTTGAGGAGACTCGGCTGTGAGAGTCAAACACTGGGCTGGGGAGCCCTTCCCCCAGCCTGCTCAGGAGGCCGATCTCCCCCTTGCTCCTGGTTTCCCTTTAGGTAGGAGCGCAGGGTGGGTGACAGCTGACGGTTCAGAAATAAACAGGTAACAGCATCGCGTAGGTGGCCCGGGGCCGCCACAGGTGACCCGTGCCCCGGCTCTGCAGGGGCTCCCAGCCCACCCTGCCCTCCCACACCGTCAGGACAGCTGCGAGGGGCCAGAGCCTCACCAGGTCCGGGACAGGCACACGCTTTTTGAAAAGTAGAACATATACCTCCTTTTTCACTCAGCTATTTTCAGTAGGGGCAGAACTATATTAGCCATTTTGAGCAGGTATATTAAAATTTTTTTACTTGGCATATAAACATTTTATAAACAGTTTTCACTTCCTCTGGCAGGAGTCTTTAGACGCACAACTAGAATCAGTTGTTAGCTGGCCTGTGGCCTGGGCCCCGGCTGACAGTAACAAAACGGACGGGGCTGAAAACGACTGGCTGGTGCCGGCTTCACAGGGGGCTCGGCTCACCCCAGCAAGGCCCCTCAGTCTCTTCGTGAGTACATCCATGGCCACAGGTGTCGGTAGTGGGGCCGGGCTGTGGTTGACAGGTGGTGGAGAAGGCACGCAGGTAGAGGGTGAGAGCTGCGCCAGGCCCCAGGAAGAACCCAGCTCTGCTCAGTGTTAAGGACTTCGGGAACTAGCCAAACGTGAGGGGCAAGTGGGCTTAGGGTCTCCAGAAATCCGGGTTGGAGCCTCTCTCCCTACATACTGCAGTGTGCGCTAAACCCTTAACTCTTCTTTAGGTGAAGGTCTTTCCCTAAACACAGTCATTTATAAAAGTGAGATGTTCTTAACTCATTCTAGAATCATTAAAACACCTCTAGGTCAAGGACACGAAAGCTGTATGCCTCTCTGGACTCTGCTTTGATGGGCTCAGCTAATTTTTAAAGTAAAGAATATGCTAATTAAGACCTTTATCTTTATGGTTGAAGCTTAAACTAACAAACTGGTTTGGTCATAGGACGGTCACCTGGCAGCATCCGTGGCTATCTGCTCTGGGTTATCCTGGCTATCATGCCGGTCACCGAGAGGCCGGCTGCCCCCCTACTTACCTTGTGACGGAAGGGTCACTGAGGGAACTTTGGACTTGGCTAAATCTTGACAGAAGTTGTACATGAAAAATATCGCTGAGCAAAATTCGTATTTTACAAATAAAAAATCTGCAACTGCATCAGTAGCCGTGGACGGTTCTATAGTTTGGGAAACTACTCTGTTCAGTCTCTAGGGGAAGAAAAGTGACCCTAGTGGTGTATACCGAGAATACATTCTTGTCCCGGAAACAGGCGGTTCAGAGCAGTAACAAGTCAGTAAGTGAAAACCTGCCTTTCAGACCAGTGATTTGGGTAATTAGTTCATTTTCCAGCCACTCCACAAATACAAATAGTGTAAACATCAGCAGAGAGTGGGCTGAAGGAGAGTACACTGCACGAACAATATACCGTTTCCACTAGCTGTGTTGGGAGTTAGCTTAACTAACCTTAACTGTTAGAAGGCAGCACATTCCCCATGGGAGAAATCAGCTTTCTCTTCCCAGACCTAGACCGACAACCTTCATTTGCATTTTAATCCAAAGGGAACATTCATTCATTTAATATTTATTGAGCACATGGCCCTGTTCTGGGCACTGAGCTCCTGGGAGACAGCTGTGAACTGGACACGACCTTCATCCTCAGCTACAACTCCAAACCGCACTGCTGTCAAAGCACAGCGGGACATCTGTGGGCCACTCCACACATGCGACATGCACCCGACGCAGAGGCCAAGCTCCTGTCTAATCAGGGTCCTGGCCAGTCGCTAAGCTGCGAGTGCTTCTGCTCTCCTGCTGTGTTAAATGAGGAGTACAGATCAGATGGTTGTTAGGACCTCCCAGATCTAACTGCACGGACTCAAGCTGGCAGGAGCGTCCTGAGCTCTGAGGACGCCCTCATAAGGAAATTATAATGAAATGGTATCTTCTTTATCTTGATAATTAGGCCGGGGAGCCCCAGTCTGTGGGGGATGAAGGGGGCTTAGCTTTTCAGTCTACTAAGAAAATAAAGAGGGAACTCACATGGGTCCTTTCTGCACCGTATTACCAACTGCATTCACAATTCACGGTCCAGCCCAGAATCGTAATTCACGTAACAGCGAAACTCGTTTGCCAAGGTTCGAGTGTGTTTTGGAATAAACTTGCACATCTTCACTCCAAGAAGTTTTGCTGCCACTTCCTCCATGACGGCACCTGAAGAGAACCAGCAGATGCACCCGGGGACTGAGCCAACGGAGCAGGGAGTGGACAGAACCACGCAGCAGGAAGGGCAAGGGCGTCGTTACCTATCCCTTTTCATTTCCTCCAACAGTTTTGCAAATTACCTACTTTTTCCCCTTCTTTTTAATTTAATAATTTTCCTACCTCTGCAAAGCTGAGACACTTAGAAATTTAGAAATAAATTACATTCCATACAGTAACACAAGGGAAGCAAATACAATTACTAAAAACTAGCGTTTTCCAACTTTCTGAGTCAAGAACCCCTTTTCCAATAGTACCTAATCGTGCAAACTTGTACCAGTGTGTTCACACCAGCTTTTGGCTGACAAGTCCCATTTCTCCCGCCAGCTCTGTCCTCGCTGGGACACTGCCCTAGGGGATGCCCCAGAGCGCCTCTTCCTTGAGGCCCGCCGCACCGGAGACACGGGCTCTGAGGGGCTGGGGTGCTGGAGCGGGGCCTGGATGCCAGGCTTCCCGGAAGCAGGGAACCAGCAGTTAACGTGGCTGTCCTCAGTCAAGCGCCAGCACGTCCACCCTGCCAGAGCCAGAGTCTCCTGATAAACCTACTCGAACCCCAGCTCTGCAACCTCCGGCACCCGCTTCAACCCCCCGACTCCAGGTTTCTCTTCGAGCGCAGAGGCTGAGTCAGTTCCTGCTACTACTGCAGAGGACAGCAGGGACAAGTAACAGGCGGGCGCGCACACCGCGGGCCAGCCCTGCTGCACGAGGGTCAGGCCGCTTAGCCCCCCACAGCCCTGAAAGGCAGCTCATGTCTCACTCCCAGGCTGCAGAGCAGGAGACAGGCAGAGAGGTCAGGGCACCTGTGTGTGGTCAGCCCAGTCCTACCTGTGCACAGCAGAATCTTGCCCTGAGTCAGGTACTTGACGGTTTCGGCTGTTTTTCTCAGACATTCCTCGGAGAGGTAGGGGGGGTCTGCTATCACGATGTCAAAGCTGTGTGCGGCAACTTTCTTGGGCAAATCCATTGGACTGCGGTAATCATAGAAGATAAACTCCTCTCCGTACACGGCAAATCTTCTGTCATATTCGAAGATGCAGACGGACGAGGCTGCCTCCCCCTGCAGCTCTCTCAGCTTCTGGTAAACACTGGGTGCGCTGACACACGCTATCCTGGAGCAAATGAACCCGCTCGTGAAAGACCGTTAGGACAGCGATGGCGTCAGACAGCCGCTTCACTGAAAAGCGGGATCCTTAGTAATCAAGAGCAGTAAATTTCGAGAGAAAACATTATACTGCCTCACTTTTAAGGGATCTGGTATTTAAAAATCAGCAACTCATAATTTTAAGGTATAAGGATGTAAAACATGTAAAACATCGGGACAAGAGCCAGGCGGCCCATTGCCCGAAGGTACTTGCTATTTTCATGTTGGTCCTTTAACATTTATTTCAAATACTTTTAGCCTCAAACTAAATATTTTTATAATATTATTAATAATATTATAATATATAATATAATGTATATATAATGTATAATAATATGTTATTTTTATAATATTCATAATGTTGAAAGAAAAACCCCAAATAACTACCTAAATAACTTTCATTTTCCAAAAAGAGATACCGACATTAGGTCTCAATGTAGACTGACTACTTTGAATTTCTGCTGCTTCTTTGTGTAAGGAAGTTAAGGAACCTGTTTCATTATAGGCAGTCTCCAGTCTGTGAATGGGCAGTGTTCCACCAGTTCACTTTGAAAACCACCTGCTAAAAACGCTAGAAGGAACTTAAATGTTGAAATCACTGAGTTGACCGTGGTACACCTATTACAGTGGAACACTTTGTAGTCAGTCCTCTCCAGGACAGTCAAGTTCGGAAGAGTGTAAACCGCGCCTCCACGGGTGTACGGATTCATGCTCACAGGTGCACCGCCACCTCTGGGAGATGGGAGAGGTGGAGGCCACAGCTTGCCTCCTGGGAGGGGGGACCTACAGACAATGGAGAAGACATTCACTCTTTCTCAGTCTCCTCTGTCACTTTCAGATTTTTATCACATGTGTCATTCAAAATAGGACTTCAACTCTAAAACTGTGAGATGCATTTCTTAACAGAGAAGTGTTACATGCACTGGTTAGGTGCCCACACTGGGCTTAAGGCTTCTCAGCTGAAACACACATGAAGCATGTAAGGAAATCTGGTGGCACCCCGTCCGCTTCTGTGGGGACCAGAGCCCTAGGGGGAGGCGGGGCTGGGGGGCACGGGAGAGGACACAGAGCTGTGTCTTCACTCTGCTGAAAGCCAGTGGGCAGCATCCAAGGATTAGCTGCACCGTGGAAATCCCTTCTGAGAAAGACGGCCAAATAAAGGTATTTTCAGACAAACAAAATCTGAGACTGTCATCAGCAAACCTTCACTAACAAATTCCAAAGGGTGTACTTCAGGCAGAAGGAAAGTGGTCTAAGGTGCAGGGAGGAGCGGAGGCAGTGTGTGGTGACCCCGGTGGAGGCGGCACAGCCGGCCAGAGCGGGGACCTTCGGCACGTGACTCATCTCTCGGCTCAGTGTCTGTCTTCAGAACGGATAGCGCAACGGCAGCCAGCTCAGGGCTGTGCGGGACGGGCACCTGGCAAGGCCGCGGTCGGAGCTACCGGTGCTATTCCTCAGCCCTGAGGTACTGAAGGCGCCTTCCAGAAAACACAGGAAGCTGCTTCCAAAGCCCTCATGTGAGTGGAAAAGAAAATACATGTAAAAGCACCGTCACTAAGAGAAACCTAGGAAACAACTACACACAATTTAAAAAGAAAAGGACAGAAAAAAACCCTCACGACGTCCAGTTCACGGCGGCAGGCGGGAGAACACGTTTACGCAGGTGTGCCCCTTCATGGACGCTGACTAGGTAGGGCGTGAGAAATCTGTTCTGTTGTTTAAGCGTAAACCTCCAACAGCAAGAGAAGGTGAGAGGAGACAAGACAAACAGTTTCGGAAGCTGAAAAGCAAGCGCTCAGCAGACCTGGGAGCCAAGCCCAGGCCCCCTGGGCAGGGGCCTGGTTTACGTCACGGCCCCAGCGCACCCACCTGAGATATGAACAGACGGCGAGGGCCGCAGACACTCAGGGAAATCATCTAACTCGAGAGGCCGAAGTCAAGAGAAAAGGCATGCTGGAAACTATGCAGGGAGAAGAAAACTTTTTAAAAATCCTACAATTTAATGTCTTCAGAAGGATGAACAAGATACAATAATAAAGAAATATTCAGAGATCCGCCCCAAAATACAGATGATTAAATACACAATAGCAACAATAGTAAACTCAGTAGAAAGTTTAGAAAATAAAGTTGAGGAAGTTTTCCAGGAGGTAAGGTAAAAAGGACAGAAAGAAAAGTCAATCAGGCCCAACATTCAAATAATAGGAGTTCCAGAAAGAGGAACAGGAAAAACGGTGGGGAGGAAGTCAGAGAAGTTAGAACCACCGCCCCAAACAGAAGGAGCTGAGTTATGAGAACAGGCGGGCTTCTCCCCCAGCACAGCAGGTGAAGGAAAGCTCCACACCAAGACACACCTAACCCTGGGCTTTCAGAGAAAACCCAAAGCTGGTGGTGCGCAGGGCAGGAACAGGCCTCCTACGAGTGGCACTGGGTTTCTCAACAGCGTACTGAACGCGGAGGCAATGCGCCACCCACAAAACTGTCACACCAAGAAAGAGGGTAGAATAAAAGTATTTTCAGACATGGAAGGTTTTTAAAATTTCCCTTCCATGGACGCCACTGAAGGATGTACTGAAGGATGTAAACCAAGAACGGGGCTACCGGCCACAGGACGTCGGAAACAAAACAGAGGCCAAGGGAGTCCTCAGCATGGTGGTGAAGGAGAGGAAGTCTCAAGACCGGAGCCGCCGCAAACCTTTCCAGAAAACACCCAGTCCAGATGGGAACAGGGTGCAGAGCCCTGGGAGGGATTTTTTTCAAGAAGTTGAAATGTATTTGAATTCACCACTAGGAGATTTATGCCACCGGGGAGAACATGAGGGCTAATTAGTGATATGGACAGAAATACATTAAAAAATAAGAGAGTTCTTTTGTTCAGGGAAAATGAAAAACTGTACCAAAAAGAACTCAGCTGTAAAGAACATCTATGTTGTCATAATAACCCTGTTCTAACCAAAATTAGGCTGTAACGCTGTTGGGCGCAAGGGTAGGAAGCGTGCGTGTACGTGCGATGGCAGAGAATGAAAGGGAGCTAACAGTCCTCACCCTCTTCAGGTGAGAAGTTAAGCTACACTGACTACATGTGACAAAATCAAGAGGTGCCAACATAAACGTATTACTTAGAAATACGTTGCAAATACCCAAAGAATCAACTGAAAGGGAGCTGAAAAGGGGAAAATCAACAATGGATGTGTGTCTGAACAGTCTTTTAGGACCTTCTGACTTTAAATTATTTGCATGCAAAGTTCTGATAAAAACAAACACCCAATTGACAAAGAAAACCTATATTGTTAAAACTTCAAAAAGGTTAAACAGTAAGGTTTTTCTCTTAAAGCTAACTTTAAAGTAAGAAACAGGCTAGAAAATGTTAAAATAAGGAACTGAGATAAGACATCTTACAACGAATAAACTTCTGAGCGTGTCCCTAGGGGCGATATTGAAGCAATTTTTAATTCCTCAAGTTCTGCAAATCATGAACTAGAAGTTTCGTGGATTATAGTTCAGACTTGTTACCAATCATCTCTCATCTAGGAAGGACATGTGAAATATGAGTAAAAGACAAAGAGAAACAGAACTGAACCTCACCTGCCACCTTCTCCTGCAGCTGCCCTGGCCTCCTCTGCGAGCCGCCGGGCAGTCTCCTGATCATACCAGAACTGGCTCAGCTGCTGTGACAGGCAAACGAGCAAAATCACGTTAGAACTGTCAAGTATTCTTTTCTTTTAATTTATACCTATTATACCGGTGTGCATACATTAACATTTTTTTGAACTAATTTTTCTTTGAAATTATTTTAAATAGAAAGCCCAAATTAACTAATTAATGAACCTGAGGCAGTGAGTCCCAGTGGCTGCTGACACCACAAGAGAGCACATTTCTTCTGACAGAAGGGCACGCTCCCACATCCTGTAAGTTGTGCCCAAAACACCAAACCTGAACCTGACTAAGTCTCCAGGCCCAGCCGCCCACTAACAGAACCAAGAGGCAGAGGACGGCGGGCCAGCTCCAGGACGCCTAAGGGTGTCACCAGAAAGATCCAGCCTGTGCCTCCTCTCTGCGGCCTCAGGGGTAAGTTGTTCATTTTTCATCTTACTCCTTCTATTGATGGGATGGGTGATTTTCTTTAAATTTCTAGTGATTCCTAATTATCTGCTCACAGTTAAGAACTAAGGATGACTGTAATGGACTCCTCGGAGATGGAAGAGACCCGTTTTCCCAGTGTGGTGTGAGCAGGTGAGCACAGGAGTGCGCACCAGCAGCCCCCGGTCCAGGCTCGACGGTGTTCCCAGAGGCAGGACGCACATACGTATGTGGATACGCGCACGCTCTGTGTCCGCCATCCTGGCTGCAGGCTGAGTGCTGAGCTCCGACCCCCTCTGCTCAGGAGGGCTGGCGAGAGCCCCAGGGACGCGGCACGGAGGGTGCGGCCTCACCTGATTCGGGACATAGCAGCTTTCTGAGCGCTGGCTACTGAGCTGCCCTTCTGCCTCGCTCCAGCGTTGTCAGGCCACTGCGAGGGCTGTGGCTCTCTTCCAGTCATTCTCAAAAACTTAAAACCTTGCTCTTGAGCAAAGTATTGCATGAATACCGCCCTGAGGGTCCAAAGCACTGCTAGGCGGGTGAAGAAACAACAGCCCTGGCCCCGTGTCTCCCCGCCAGAGCCCCAATCCTCAGAAGCAATTTCCAGCTCTTGGCTCGGACCATTTACCCCCATACTTCTAAATATTACGCTTTAACTGCTATCTCTTGATAACTCTACTTTATGACATACCTATGATGGCAGATGAGGATTTCACTGTCTCATACACACCCTTCCTCTGCCTTTGCCTCCCCCCAGAGTTACCGCCTAGGTGCTGGTTAGTTACGGCCAAGCGCCAGCGTCCAGCGCTGAGCCAGGCACCACGCTGTGACAGCATTCCTTCTGGTGGGTGCCTCTTGCTTTTCCCAGAGTTAATAAAGGAGTGGTTGTTTCCTCCACGTGGCTCCTTTGAGCCTATCCCTGCCTCTTCCAGCATCCTGCAACTTCTGAGAGGTGGTACACGGGAGGCAAGTGTTGTGAGACTTTCCATGTCTGGAACGTTTTTATTTCATCCTCACATCTGATTGACAGCTCAGCTGGGGACAGAACTCCAGGCTGAACAAAACCCAGGCTAAACCTTGAAGGCCCTGCTCCACTTTCTTCTAGGTTCTAATAAAGCCACTGAGAAGTGCAGTGTGACTTGCAGGCCTGAGACTGCAGGTGACCCGCCTTTCTTCTGAAAGGCTGAAGGATCTGCTTTGTCACCTACATCCAGAATCTTCACAATCCTAACAGTCATGTGTCTTAGTGAGGGTCTCTGGTGCTGGGAAATTTTCTGGTATTATTCTTTGAAGATTTCCTCCCCTTTGTTTTCTGCTCTATTTTTCTGGAACTCCAATTAGTTGAATCCTATGCCTCCTGGATTTATCCTCCAGTTTTAGAATGTTTTCTTTCCTGCAATTTGTATCATTGTTTTTTTTTTTAAATTCCTGGGAGACTTCCTTAATTTTATGAACAAAACAAACCAAAACAAAGTGTGAAAAATGTACAAATAGTTAATTCAAGTAGTGGAATTACAACTTTTGGTTTTTTGTTCATGTTTTAGTATATTTTCTACAATTATCTTAGATTGCTTTTAGAATCATAAAGAAGTACTTAGTATTTAAAACATTAAGCAGAAGGAAGAGAGAAAAAGATAGAGCATATTTACCACCCAAAGCATCAAGCTAAAGACAAAAACACAGAGAAGGGAAATAGTGAGAAAGAGGCATCTGAGGAGGTGGCACACTTAAAGAAAATGTAAAGAAACATTTTCATCAGTTTCAAACAGATGGCAAATAGAAAAATTTCATGTAACCTAAGAGATTCAAATGATACAAAATGTAAGACTGCTTATACTCACACACACACAGGCACAAGCCTGCTTCCAGTTCAAAGTGATGAAGGGAGACAGATCTATTATCAAGGGGTCGTCACAGACAGGAAATTCAAGCCTCATCTATTTCTCAACTATGTCCCTCAAAAAATTTAAATTTCTAGGTTCCAGCTTAGATTAGTTTTCCTCAACTCACTTTTTTCTCTTTTATTTTGACCATAAAAATACAATTAAAATACCTACTGTGCACCAGAAACTGTATCTTCTTAAAAACTCCCCTTCATCAGTCTTTCCTACATAGGTACATCCAGTTACCCACTGCTGCAGTTCTGCCCTTTCCACAAGGATTGCTGGGCTCCATAAAAACCAGCAGATGCACCTGTGCACAGGAAGGGAGCATGGCTGCGGACAGAACGATGTGCTGCTCCCCAACCTGAGAAGTCTCCTCCTCTGATCACCAAGCAGCCCAAGGGCCAGAATTAGGAAAATCTGCATTTATACTGCCTTACAACTGGTGTCAAGGTCAGCTTTCTGTCTCAGCTCCTGAACAGGTCACTGATGTCTAAGTGACAGGTGAGACAGACTGGAACTAGGTGGGACACAGACAAACATGGACTGTGTGCAGACGGGCTCCACCCCACACTTACTGACAGACATGACATCATTTACTTACCCAGTTCTCTTCTATTACTCCGATGTTATACTTCTCAGCACCAGCGGGGTCGGCGTGCTGCCTCTGCTCAGCATAAAATTCCTGCAGAGCTGCCAGGGCATGGGACGACAGCTGGGGGACACCGTCATCTTCAGAGTCACTCATTTCACACATCTTCTGTCACCTGCAGGTAAATGAGTGTAGGTGATGTGAGTCGGTTTTCTCCTTTCCATCAAATAACAGTAGCAGGGAGGGTACAGCTCAGTGGTAGAGAGCACGCTTAGCACGCATGAGGTCCTGCACTGCACTCCCAGTACAATCACTCAAGAAACCTAATTACCCTCTCCTACAAATAAATACATAAATAAATAAATAGAACTTTATCTCATAGCAGGGATCCAAACTGGAAGTGAGTTGTATAAAGGAAACACATATTTAAAATTTCTGAGATCAAACTTCTGCAGAGATCTCCTACTGAACTACAGTTTAACAAATGCAGGCTTTTTCTGTAACGTACTCAGTTTTTACAAGGAGGTTTTCACATTTCTATGATTCCTTGCAGAAGGAAAACCTTCCCATAAATATCTAAAGACGTGCTGCTTTCTGCCGGTACCCACCGTGGCCACGTGCAGATGATTCAGTGGGTTCTCTGAATCGCATCTGTTTACGTGTGAATGGCATGTTAGCAACCTACGCTCATGGGTGTTATTGATGGACAGGTGGGGTATCGATCAAAAGAAGTATAGGTAGAAAGAGAGATGAAAAGAAAGAGGGAGGAAAGGAGAAAGGGAAGAAGAAAGTAAAACAGGGAGGGAGGCAAGAAAGGCGTCTCGTAGGACCTGACGGCCAGGCCCAGTTACTTCCCGGGTGCACCCAGGCAGCCAAGTGTGAGGTTTTACGGCCCCGCCCTCCGGACAGACAGGTCTGCCCTAAACCACCGACAGCTGCAAACTGAGGGGCTTCCCCAGACCATCCTCACACCCGGCAATTTGCCAGAAAGCCCGCAGAACTCACGGAAAGCAATCACACGCACAGTTCATCACAGGGAAAGGATACAAAGCAGAACCAGCCGCCTGTCAGAGCGCCCCACCGGCACCTCCCGGGGCCGCGCACCAGACGCCCGGGGCCGCGCTGCGGTGGACGTTTCACCGAGGCTTCATTAAGTGGTGTGACCGAGTTACTGTCCGCCCGGTCAGAGTCAGCCCCCAGCTCCCCTGTCCCTGAGGCTGGGCTGACCAGGCCTGAGGGCCATCCATGAATAACAAAGACATTCCTGTCACTTGGGCAAGTCCAAGTGTTTGCAGGTCGACTCCCCAGGGCATGGCAAAGGCCAAACCTCTCTTTCGGTGAGGTCGGAGGCACCAAACAAAAGAAAACTTGCCAGTCACTATAAAGTAAAATCACCGACCAATATCCCACGTGACCATGGAAGCAAAAATCCTTTATATTAACAAACCAAATCAAACTATATATAAAAGGATAATAAAAAATAATAAAAAGGATAACACATTTTGACCAAGTGTGGTCTATCTCAGGAATACAGGGGTCAGGTATCAAAGAAACACCAGAGCTGGATGGTAAAGCCATGAAAACAGACTTTATTTGGGAATTCTGTGACAGGGGACAAGACTTACTACAGACCTGGGCTCAACTCCAAACACAGCCTGGACAAGAGGGAACGTGCGGCTAAGGGGCCGGCAGGCAGAAACTCTGTAAGGAAGTGTCAGGGTGAGGGGGATTCTGGCTAACTGACCCAACAGGGTCCTTTGCTGGAGACAGGCCAGGAGCAGTCTCCTTTTGGAAATTAATCTGACAATCCAGACATAAAACTATTCCTACTTTCTGACCCAATTCTCATTCCTAAGATTTTTATTTTGAAATATTTACAGATTCACAGGAAGCTGCAAAAACAGTACAGAGTAGTCCACGCACGGACTGCCTTCTCCCAGTAGTAATGTCTTAGGTATTTTACAAAACCGGAAGATGCTGTTGGTACCGCCCCCGCCCCCTCGATCACTCTCAGCGTTCACCCGTTCCCCGGGCACTCACTTGTGTGTATCCTGTTTTAGTGCCATCCCGTGTAGATGTGTGTGACCACCACCAACAGAGGACAGACAAGATCCTACTCCTCTCTGCCCCCATTCCTAACTCCTGGAGAGCACTAATCTCTTCTCCATTTCAATAATTGTATTACTTCAAGAATGCCGTATGAGTGGAACCATGTGTTACATAACCTTCTTTGATTGGCTTTTTTCACTCAGCATAATTCCCTTGTGATTCTCCCAGGTTGTGCTTACAGCAGTTGACTCCTTTTAACTGCCAAGCGGTAATCCACGGTGTGGGCACACTGTGACCATCCACTCATTAAAACACACGTGGATTATTACCGATTTTAGAGTACTAGATAGCACTGTTGGGAACATTTATGTATATGTTTTTGTACAGCCACAAATTTTCATTTCTGGGACAAAATGCCCAGCAGTAGGATGCTTGACTGTATGCTAACAGTATGTCTGAGAATATCAAAATGATTTATTTCATACAGTTGAATTATAAAAGATGGTCTCATCAAATCAAGAACTGAATTCCTGAAATAGGAGGTTCACTGTGGCCAGAGAGGCTGCAGTTCTCTTTGTAATCATGTAGATTATTTTAGAAATACTTAAATAAACTTCAATTTTTAAAATAACTTTATTGTGATATAATTAAATTACCTTACAATTTGTCCATTTAAAATATATCATTCAGGGCACCCAGCTAGCTCAGTCGGTAGAGCATGAGACTCTTAAAATGTATCATTCAGTAACTTTTAGTATATTCAGAGTTCTTCAATCATGACCATCCTACAATGTTAGAACATTCTCATAGCCCTCAGGAGAAACCCCATGCCCTTTAGCAGTCGGTCCCGTCCCCACCACACTCGGCCCTGGGCCAACACTAACCTACTTCCTGTCTCTATGTATTTGGTTATTCTGCAGGTTTCATACCAACAGAAGCACAACACATGTGGTCTCTGTGAGTGGTTTTATGTTTAGTTTTTTAAGAACTGCCAATCATCCTCCAATGTGGCCATACCCTTTGACATTTCCACCGGCTTCTCTGCATCTTCACCAGGATTTGGTATTTGTTATTTTCCCCTTCAAGGGGTGGGTGATGCCACCTTGTTATAGTTTCATTTCATGTCCTAGAGATGCTGAACCCTCCATGTGCTTATCTGCCATCCATACAGACTCTATGGTGAGATGTCTGTTCATGTCTTTGTGTCACAGTCTAACTGGATTTTGGTTTTTTAACTGCAGTGTTTTGAGAGTTCTTTTGTGTGGGTTTTTTTTTTTTTCTTTTAGAGCTTAAATGATACTGCTTTCCAGCCCAACACTGCACTCAAAATTGCAATACCGACGCTGCACTATCTCCCCACTGCAGTGAGAGGGTGGACAACTAGGATTTCCACGTCCGTAACCAATTTCAGAGGGGATTAAAACCCTGCCTGCTCTGAAACAGTCTGGATGCCAGTTCTCTGTCAGACGTGTAGCTTGCAAATGTTTTCTCCAGTCTGTAGCTTCGTTTTTTTCATCCTCCTCATGGGTTTTTGCGGAGTGAAAGCTTTTAATTTTGGTTAAATCAAATATATCAAAAAACTTTTTTTTAAAGAATCTCGTTTTTTGGTGCCAAGTCTGATAAAGATTTGCCGAGCCCTAAGTCCCAAAGAATTTCTATGTATAACTTTATCTAGAAGTCCCATAGTTTTACATTCAAGCCTATGATTCATTTTGAAATAACTGATTTTCAGGTAACGTGTGAGTTTTAGGTCAGGTTTTGCGGGGGGAGGGGATCATCTGTGGATATACAACTGCTCTACACCATTTGTTGGAAGGATATTTTAAAAACTGCTTTTTCATTTTGTCAAAAATCAGCTGGGCATATTCATCTGGGTCTATTTCTGGGTTCTCTACTCTTTCCAACTGACCTACATGTCTGTCTCTGACAGTACCATGCCGACTTGATTATTTTTACTATAGCTATACATAAATTCTTAAAACCAGGGAGCATGATTCTTCCTGTTAATTCTTCTTTAAAATTATTTTAGATGGCCTAGACCCTTTGTCTTTCCATACGGATTCTAGAATAAGCTTGCCTATAGCTACAAAAAAATCTGTTGGGAATTTGATAGAAATAGGGTTAAATCTATATATAAATTTAGGGAGAATTAACATCTTTACTATGTTAAGTCTTCTAATTCATAAAAAGTGGTACATTTATTTATTTAGTTCTTTGATTTACTTCATTAGCCTTTAAAAACTTTTAGCACACAGATTCTGTACATATTGTTAGATTTATACTAAACATTTCTTTTCAGAAGAGTGAGTGTAAATTGTTTTCGATTTTTAGTCTTAATATGTTAAATGTTAGTATAGAAATACCACTGATTTTTATGTTCTGATCTATTCTGTAACAATGAGGAACTCACTCAGATTAGCTCTAGAAGTGGTTTTTTTTTTTAATGGATTCCTTTGGATTTTCTACTTAGAAAAGCATGTCTATAAATAGGGATAGTTTTACTTCTTCCTTTCCAATCTGGATGCCCTTTCTTTCTTTTTCTTGCCTTTCTGAATTGGCTAGGACTTCTAGTACTGGTACACAAGAGTGGTGACAGCAGACATCCTGGGCTTGCCTGAGATCTCAAGGGGGAAAGCATTCATTCAGTCTCTTACCATTAAGAATGATGTTGGCTGTAGGTTTTTTGTACATGCTCTTTACTGAGAAAGTTTATTTGTAGTTTGCCGAGTTTTATCATGAACAGGTGTTGAATTTTCAAATGTTTTTTCCACATCAATTAATATGATCATGTGCTGCTTCTTTAGCCTATTGATATGATGAAGTACAATGATTTTCTAACGTTGAACCAGTCTTGAATTCCTAGACTAAGACCAACTTGATTATTGCTATAGACTGTGTCCCCCGGCCCAAATTCACGTCAAAAACGCATTCCCAATGTGATGGTATCTGGAGGCAGGGCCTTTGGAAGGCGATTAGCTCATGAGGGTTCCACCCTCATCAATGGTGTTAGTTCCCCTACAAATGAGACTGCCGTGTGAGGTGACCGCGAGAAGACGGTTGTCTACAAAGCAGGCTCTCACCAGTCAGAATCTGCCAGCACCCTGATCTTGGAATTATTAGCCTCCAGAACTGTGAGAAATAAATTTCTGTTAAGTCTGATATTTTGTTTTAGCAGCCTGAGCAGACTAAGCCCCTAAGGCCTGGAGATTTCTTTTATGGGAAGTCATTAACTATAAATTCAACTTCTTTAGTAATAGTTACAGGACTATTCACATTATTTGTTTCATTTTGGATGGGTTTTGATAGTTTGTTGCTTTTGAGGAATTGGTCCATTTCATCCAAGTTGTTAAATTTATGTGCCTAATGTTTGTAGCATTTCCTTATTGTATTTTCTTTAGGATATGTAGTGATATCCCATTTCATTCCTAATATTAGTAATTTGTGCCTTATCTCTTTTTCTTAGTCTTACTAGAGGTTTGTCAATTTTATTGATCCCTCTGAAGAATCAGCTTTTTGCTTAACTGACTTTCTCTACTTTTTAAATTTTCAATTTCATTGATTTCTGCTTTCTTTCCTTCCTTCTTTCTTTGCATATATTTTGCTCTTCTTTTTCTACTTTTTTGCAGTGGGAATTTAGAACACTGATCTGAAAACTTTCTCAGTTTAATAACTGAGAAATTAAAAAATACACTGAATGAAAATGGAAAAAAAATCAAGTTTTGTGGAGTGTTGTTGCACTACAGATTTATCTTTCAGCAACATCCAACAAAATTGGATATTTCTTAATCATTTTCATTAAGTTCAATGTATTTTTA